GTACCTTGCAATGGAAGGAGCCTATACATAAGTGCAGAAGGTGCTCTGATGCACTGGAATTCCAGCATATGGGAGCAGACTTGATTAATCAAGTCTGCCAGAGCATGGCAATTACTGTGCTCCAGCCGCCTCCTGCATCTCATGTACTAGTGCCCTGTGGTGGCGCTTTAATTAGACTGGCTTTTTGAGCCACTCTAATTAAAGTGCTGCTCCTCCCACCTCCTGAGCACGTGTAAAAGTGCCTGACGGTACTAGATATAATACGTATTAAATAAAGCATGTTAATGCACACGTAGGCATGTCTTTTTGCATTTTGCAGCATTGCTTCTCAAAAAGGCAGGGGTTCAGGATGCTCTTCCTGTCAACTTGGGATCAGCAGGATCCCAAGTGGGAGGTTACTCTGGGGTTTGCCCAGGTCACCTGCACAAGGATGCAATCCTGGGATACTCCGGAAGTGGCTCTGAGAGCTGTTGCTGTCACCATCAGAAGATACCTGATGCTTCATTGCTAAGGGTAGGATCAGTCTGATCAGACTGAAGGTGTTAAAAAAACATGTGTTGGGCTTGAAGGTGGGGGGTTGCGGTGGGGAGGGACAAATACAAGATCAACTCAGAAATCATGAGATTTAAGCCAGCTATAAATCAGGGGGGGGGGGTTACAGGCCTGCTCCTTTCTGAATCTGTAGGGGTCCTATTCCCCTAGTGTTTTCCACCACCAAGCCAAGGGATGCACTGTTACAGCCTTGGGATCAACTGGCTAAGCAACAGCTCTGTAGAAAAGGACCTGGGGGTTACAGTGGACAATAAGCTGGATATGGGCAACAGTGTGCTCTTGTTGCCAAGCAGGCTAACAGCATACTGGGCTGCATTAGTAGGAGTGTGGCCAGCAGATATAGGGAAATAATTATTCCCCTCTATTCTGCATGAGTGAAGTCACATCTGGAGTACTGTGTCCAGTTTTGGGCCCCCCACTACAGAAAAGATGTGGACAAGCTGGAAAGAGTCCAGCAGAGGGCAATGAAAATGGTTAATGGGCTGGGGCATATGACTTATGAGGAGAGGCTGAGCAAACTGCACTTATTGGGCATCTTTACACATGTTCCAGGGTGGCATACAGGCACTTTAACTAGAGCAGCTCTTGGGAGCCACTTTAATTAAGCACCACAGCATCTCATGTATTCAGCATCCCACGCTTCAAAATGTTGGCGGGGGCATTTTAATGAAAACTTGTTCAATGAGCTTTAGTTGAAACATCCCTGCCACCATTTTGAACAATAGGGACACTGAAAATTCATGATGCTGAGGTTGCTGGAGCATGCTAATTAGTTGAGTGTTCTTCGACATGTTCTAATTAAAACATATTGGACTCTTGTATAGGTGCCCATTCAGTTTGCAGAAGAGAAGACTGAGGGGAGAATTGGATAGCAGCCTTTAACTAATTGAAGGGTAGTTACAGAGGATGAAGCTAAACTGTTCTCAGTGGTGGTGGATGACAGAACAAGGATCAATGGTCTTAAGTTGCAGCAAGGGTAATTTAGGCTGGATATTAGGAAAAACTTTCTCACTAGGAGGGTGGTGAAGCACTGGAATGGGTTATCTAGAGAGGTGGTGCGATCTCCATTCTTGGAGGTTTTTAAGGCCTGGCTTAACAAAACCCCGGCTGGAATGATCTAGTTGAGTATGGTCCTGCTTTGAGCAGGGGGGTTGGACTAGATGACCTTCTGAGGTCCTTTCCAACCCTAATTTTCTATGATCCTATGAAAAGCCCCTGGTGGGGAACTGCCCATGGTCTAGAGCATAACCAAGAACAAGGCAGACAAGAATTTTTCCAACTATTTGAGTTGGTCTAATAAAAGATATGAGATTTACCCAAAGAACTTTGTCTGCCTATGTCCTTAGACCAACATGGCTATACCCTATACCCCTGTAACCAAGAACAAGGAGAGGAAGGGAAGAAAGGGATCCAGTGAAGACTGAACTAATTGACTGGAGTGGGATCTAGCAACGGAAATGACACAGGCCCCAGTGTGAGGGGGCAACCCAGACCACAGAGCAGAGATTCCATCTCTGCCTCCTCAGTGGCCCTGGGTGACATTCATAAGGACAAGATGCATCTACTCCTTCATCAGGACTTGCATTGGGTTCTAGCCAATGCCTCCTGCTTGGCTGCCAAGCCTGGTAAAGAGGTCAGGAAGGAGGGGATGGATAAACACCATTGATTGAGGATGTAGTGGAGGCATTGTCTAGGGAGGAATCCACTCAGCAGCAACAGCTTGTTTGCCCATTCCCCTCTGCCCCCCTGCTGGGCCAATTTGTCCAGGGGAGGAGGAGATAATTCCCCTGACACTAGGTAAACATGTCATTTGCAAATCCATTAAGGAAGGTGCTAAGCATATCACCTTGGGGCTGGGGGGGGGTTGTCATCATAATGAGGTGTCAGGTCAGGGGGAGGCATTAGATAAACACTTGGCAGGATGCTCCTAGGAGGGGGCAACACAACTGAGGACCTCAAACTGCTGTACAACATCAGTCCAGAGGTGAGGAAACTAAGGCACAGGACACGAGGAAGTGACTTGCCCAGGGTTACACAGTGAGGCATCCCTCACTGGCCCCCAGGACTAGGAACAGAAGCTTCCCCTGTTCTCCCTACTGTCCTGCTTCAGAAATGAAACCCTGATGCCTAAGCCCTGCCCTCATCACTACACTGCACAACCCTGCTGGAGCTGGAAAGAGAACCAGGAATCCTGGCCCTCAGTCTTGAACCCCGAAATAGAAGGGACAGCAGCAAATGGCTGGCTCTGCCTGAGGAGTGATCACTAATAGGCAGTGAAGCCAGGCTGGGGCCTCTGCTCTGGATTCCTTTTAGCCCTCTGTGGCTTGAGCTGTAGGTGATAGGATGTGAACAAAGGCCTTGCAACAACTGCTGGAGTAAGTAGGGCCCCATGATGTCTCCCCAAAGCAGCATACAAAGCCCAGAAGCATGTACACATGTTGGGCTCCGACTGAGGTTGTATTTAGACCCCAGGGAAGACTCTTCTTGATCCCTTCCTCACGCCAGACCCTCTCCCATCCCACAGTTGAATTAAACACCAGCAAGGAGCAAATGCAGGTCCCTGACCCATGCAGCTGTGGTCTAGGATTAATCCCAATGTCACTGGCCAGCCCAGACACACCCCAGACTAGCCCAAAGATCCCCATTGCCTGGAAGCTTGCTAGAAATCATTTTGTCCTGGAGAGGATCATAATGCATTACCCTCCCCCCAAACACCTCAGTCCCAACTCTGGGCCCAAGCCCTGCTTGGTGGCACTGTGAGAGGGAGGTTACAGCATCTGCCTGGTTCTCTATGTTGTACCCCAGGCTCTGCCCCATACTTCCTGTGTGACCATGGGCAAATCACTTAACCTCTCTATCGCCTTTCCCTCCACTTGTACTATCACCCTGACAAAAACATGCCCTCACTGAGGTGTTAAGCAGCCAACAGCAGTTCTTATCTGTTGCTCTCTGGCAGAAGCTGCAGCCATCAAGGCACTGTCTGGACTCAGTCTGGCCTTTGGCTTCTGTCTCACTGGTCTAAAGGGGGGATGGTAGGTCATGGGCAGACTCCACTCCTCCACACTCTTGCTTAGGCATATGCGTTGAAGGTCTTGGTGTGGTCGCAGGACCCTGTACAAGCAGATTCATCGGACAGCTAACTAGATCTCTTGCGTGTCCACCATGATCCAGAGGATCAACAGTTGCCTACTAATACTGGGGTATAGCAATCCTTTGCCTGCCTTGTTTACCTGGTCTGTGAGCTATCTGTGGCCAGGGCTGGCTCTTCAGTGTCATTAGAGGAAGTAGTTAATAACACTGCTAGTGTTAGCACATGCTGACAGATAGGGGCTTTTCCCTTGGCAGCCTTGTGAAAAAAATACTTCTGGTCACGGAGCTGACTCTGACCGGCTGGGTCTCATCACAGAAGTGAAACCGACTGGCACATCTAACTTACTGCCCTCAGTTCATCATGTGTTTCCTCTGTCACTGTCTGTGTTGCCTGTACGTTGGAACTGGGCCAGGACACCAGATCTAGAATGCTTTGATTCTTTGTGGCCCGTTAATGACGGTTATTCCAGTTCAGTTATTATTTATGACTGGTATTGCAATAGCAGCCAGCTGAGATCAGGGCTCCATGGTGTTTGGTTCTGCAGAAACATAGAGGAAAATGTGGCTCTTGTCCCAAAGGTCTGACAGTCTAAATAGAGAAGCTAAATAGCTAAAGGAGAAACTGAGGCACAGAAAAAGCAAGGAGAGAAGTAGATTCTAGACTGCAGGCCTGTGATATAAGCATCACTGGACTGTGGCTCCTTGGCCAGTTGGAAAGGCTCAGTCTGGCTGATGATGAGTGACAAGGCCTATAAAAGCTGTGCTTCCCATGCACAGCACCTCCGGGCACCATCCTGGGCATGAGGTGGGTACAGTCCTGGGAAGGACTCACTGCCAGCTGGATGGTATACTGGGCTCTGCATTTTGCATTGACCTTAAAACAAACACAGCAGCTGGACCCTGGCTAATGGGGGTGGTGCGTGTGGCAGGCCAGTGGGACCCAGGGGCTGCCCCAGACTCCTTGGTGTTTCTGGAGCCAGCTGGCCAGGGGGCCATTTGCTCTGGGGGTTGCTGTGCGTGTGTGCATGGGAGGTGGGGGGACACCATTATGTTAATCTTTTAACTCCTGATAGCCACCTCCTCCTCATTAGCTGGTCAAACAGTTTTAGCAGCAGGGGCTGAGATAGGGCTCCCTCTATATAAACCTGGAGGCCAGCACTGTCTCCTGCAGCTCCTGAGAGCAGGTCCCCACTCTCCTGTTGCCAGTCACCATCATGTGGGCATTGCCTGCCAGGCTATGGGTCCTGTCCTTCCTCCTCTGGCCCCTGCCTGTTGCTCATGGATTCATCTGGGCCTGGATGTACTCTCTGCCCCAGCACAGCCCAGATGAAGCAGCACTCTCCAAAAGCTCCAGCCCCATGGCCAATGGCAAGGACCTCCAGGTAAGTGACAGTCTGCATCCTGCCAGACTTGCTTGCAAGCGACGGTGGGTCAGAGTGGGTCTGGGGTGCTTCTCAGCCTCCTGGATACCTTCATGGCCTGGGATCTCACTCCTGCAACGTGGGCAGAGTGTGGTCCAGTGGTTAGTGCATGGGAGGTTTTATTGGGGAGGGCAGGGTTGCCTAGTGCAGCATTTTGTGCCTGAGCCACTGGTGCCTCCTGAATCTGGGGGGGCACCCGCAGAAGCCACCACCACCGGTGGTCCTCTCGGGGGGGCACCAGCCCTGCCAACAGTGTCGGTGTCACCCCTACCAGTCACCTATGATTTTGTGGGTCATGACCCAAAAGTAACCCATATATTCTTGGTCGCAAGAATATATCAAAGGGTCACGAACAAACTTTAAAAATGGATTCTCCTTTAAAG